TTAATATATGTGGAATAAGCTTTGAGAGGCCAGAACTTGAGTTGGTTGATTTGCTCCAAATAATGTCAGATTCCCCTCAGGGGGTATAATGTACAAAATACTCCAAAATATTCAAGACATATATTTCACATTTAGAAAAAACCAAATGGGTTTAAGTTCCAATATGAAGAAAAATTATCCATTACAAAGTTGGAAAACTGCCCACTCAGGGGACTAGCAACTGTCTCTCCATTTGCGCCATCAAAGATAATGACACTAAACCTGGGACTCCACCACCTTTCCCCACTGACTTCATTGCTTTACACAGCTTTGCTCCTTAAACTTGTGGCAGGTAAATTAGGCCATAATCTCACCATGTCCTCTTAGCTAAGTGGACAGGTGAGGGCAGCTCCGGACAGGAGATGCTGAGGAAAGCCCAGGAAAGAACACTTGCCTCCGCACTAGGGCCTACTGATCTCAGCAAGCTTAATTATTAATCTCAGCAAGCTTAATTATTAATCTCAGCAAGCTTAATTCCCATTGTTGGATGAAACTGAGGCTCCATGAGTTTAGCTACCTTGTTCAACGTCACCCAGCTAGTGGGTAGTAGAGTCTTTTCAGCCAAAAAAGAACTTACATCCTTGGAGTGGTTCATACACCACCCAAATAAGACGTAAGTTTGATGGTTATTTTTTTCGATAGGTGAGGATATACAGTCGTCCCTTGACATTCAGGGGGAAATGGTTCCAGGATCTCCTAAACATAACTAAATCTGAGGATGTTCAAGTCCCTGATACAAAATGATGTAGTGTTTGCATATAACCTACACACACACCCTCCTGTATACTTTAATTCATCTGTTGATTACTTGCAATACCTAATACAATGTGAACGCTATGTAAAGTGGCTGTGCTGTATTGTTTAGGGGATAATAAGAAAAAAAAAAAGTCTGTCTATGTTCAGTAGTGTATTTCTGACCCATGGTTGGCTGAATCCCTGATGTGGAACCTGCTGATACAGATGGGAGGGCTGGCTGAACGTTATAGTGTCTCCTATTTTCAGATTCAGTAGCTCTAGCCTTGGGGCAGTCCCATCCTCCTGGAATGTATCTGGAAATGCACGAGAACATCTTTTGCACTCAGTGGAGGGGGTGCATTGCGCTGCTGACATTTTAGGGCTCAGAGGTCTGGGATATTAACACCTGCTGCGATGCTTATGTTGCCACAGTTCCACAGGATGAACGATCATCTATCCACAAATGCAAATAGTTATCTTGTTGATAACAATAGGCTCCTCACCCATTTGGGAAGACATGGGGAAGTTGCTTTAACTCCACTGGGCATGAGCTCAGAGATGGTGACTTGTCAAAGGGCAGTATACAAGCTGGGCACAGTGGCCCATGCCTGCAGTCTCAGCTACTCAGGAGGCAGAGGCAGGACAATCTTTTGAGCCTAGAAGTTTGAGATCCCATCTCTTAAAAAATAAAAAGGTAGGTGGGCATTATACAAAGTGGAGAGTCCTTAAAAAGCTGACTTCGCATAGAAAACAGGCCGTGCTGGCTGCACTGGTGCTTTTGTCTGGCCAGTGTGGGGAACCAGTGAAACCTTCATAGCATCCCCAATGGTCAGATGATGCTTCAAATTCAGGCTCCATCACATGCTGGCTGGGTAAACCTGAGCAAGTGTTTCTTGGAGCCTCAGTTTTGTCTGTAAAAAGGGAGTAATAAACTCAAAAGACTGTGGGTATTAAATATCTGAATGTGTTTAGTACACAGTCTAGGTAGGGACTAAGTGTCCTGTGAAATGGTGGCTATGATGTTTATCTTGCCATTTTCACAACTACCATGCCTGGCTTTGTGCTTCTTAACCACTTTCTTACAATGATGTTTTAATTCCTGTGAAGAAATGGATATTCCACAAGGTGTTTGTTCTGTCACAGGCTTAGATGAAATGTTTTCACTCAACTGCTACCTCTTGGAACAACCAAAAAACAAAAACAAGTCAAAGGAAACTAATAGTAAAATTTAAACCTGAGAAACTAAAAATCTTTGTTGGCACATTATATCCAAATTGCATGCTAATACACCAGCGTTCTTCATTATTTTACACATACTACAAAGAAGGTAAAGAAAGAAATTTCTCTTCATGGAAATCTATGAAACAGAATTCATTAATACTTAAACAATAAAGTTAACCAACACAGTGTAGACCTGAGAATTTGGAAGCTTAACAACTACATAGGAAATGCAACTATTTGGTTATAATTGAAATCAGATTAAAAACTATGTTTAGGTCAGGCGCAGCAGCTCATGCCTGTAATCCCAGCACTTTGGGAGGCCAAGGCAGAAGGATCGCATGAGCCCAGGAATTTGAGACCAGCCTGGGCAACAAAGTGAAATACTGTCTCTACAAAAAATCAAAAAAGCCAGGCATGGCGGCATCCTCCTGCGATCCCAGTTATGCAGGAAGCTGAGGGGATGAGGCAGGAGAATCACTTGAGCACAGGTCAAGCCTGTGGTAAGTTGTGCTTGTATTACTGCACTCCAGCCTGGGCGACGGAGCAAGACTGTCTCAAAACGAAACAAAACAAACCAGTGGTTTTGGCTATGTATCACATTTATAGTCTACAGAATTGAGCTGACCAAAGCCATTCTCAACCTCTCTGCAACAGCAAATGAAAAGGGATTTTTTGAGATGAGTCTCGCTCTGTCACCCAGGCTGGAGTGCAGTGACATAATCTTGACTCACTGCAACCTCTGCCTCCCAGGTTCAAGCAATTCTCCTGCCTCAGGCTCCTGAGTAGCTGGGGTTACAGGTACCCACCATCATGCCTGGCTAATTTTTGTGGAGACAGGGTTTCACTGTGTTGGCCAGGGTGGTCTCAAACTCCTGACCTTGGGTGATCCACCCACCTTGGCCTCCCAAAGTGCTGGGATTATAGGTGTAAGCCACCATACCCGGCCTGAAAAGGGTTTTAAACATTCAAGGAAAAGAGCAAAGAAGCCCCCCTTTTTTTTTGTCCGAGACGGAGTTTCACTCTTGTTGCCCAAGCTGCAGTATAACGGCGCCATTTCAGCTCACCACAACCTCCACCTCTCAGGGTTTAAGCAATTCTCCTGCTTCAGCCTCCCAAGTAGCTGGGATTACAGGTGCATGCCACCATGCCCTATTTTTTTGTATTTCTAGTAGAATTGGGGTTTCACCATGTTAGCCAGGCTGGTGTCAAACTCCTGACCTCACGTGATCTGCCTGCCTCGGCCTCCCAGTGCTGGGATTGATTACAGGCGTGAGCCACCAGGCCTCGCCGAGAAGCCCTTCTTTAACTCTCCTCCATAGACAACTTCTTCCAAATTCCTATATTTTTTGTGAATTTACTGTGCAATTTGAGAGTTCAGAGGTTGTACAGAGAGTTCAGTTGAGGTGAAAAGAGGTGCATGACAAATTAGAATTATAATTGAGTCCACACCTGGCTGATAGTCTGGCCCAAAATGTAAACAGCCCTCTATTTAAAAAAAATTGGTAACAAGGTGCTTATTAAGGAGACAGAAATCGAAGTAATCCATATCTGAGATCCATTATATCCCAGACCAGAAAAAGGAGACCTCTATAGACCAAGGGTTAGGATTCAGAAAATGCTTTAACTATAGAAAATAATTATGTATAGGGTAGTTTTTGTAACAGGATCTTACTGTAGCAAATGTGGAAGTACATCCTTTAAATACCCAACAGAAAGCAGGTTGTACAAGAGAGACGTCATGTTTGCTTTCTAAACGTTT